AGGGAAAAATGGCTGCAAGTCGCCTTCTCGTTACGCAGAAATCCAACCTGCCCTGCGCTCCCCAAGCAAAGCAGCGGTGTCATGTCAGGTATGTCAATGTCAGTGCTACATCCCGTGCTTGGCAGTCATTTTGGTGCTCTTTGCACGAATGTGTCCTTGCCTGGCACGACATTCCCCTTGCGGGGCAAGCCAGGAAGCTACAAAGAAAGACAGCTGGGTGGAGTCGAACCGCTTACGGTCAACAAGTAGAATGTCGTAGGTCAAGTAGTGCAGCGTTCATACCCTTACCTCGGCATAGCTTGAGCTATTGGACTAGATACGTAGTCCAGGCATCTATCATCCCGCACCGCAGCGATCCAAACGCTCACTAATGACTGGCTGAAGCTTCTGTGCGCAGCACCTTCCTTCACATGATAACTGAGCATATCCTCATAAATGCCATAATCCATGGAAATAGGTGTATTGAAGGTCAAACATCCCAGGAAGGAAAGCTCCATCCAGCAGCCACGCCAACGCGTAGAAAACAGTAAAGTCAAACAAATTCTTTGGCTCAGCAAGATGCGACATCAGACTTCTGGCACGTGGCAGTCTTCTGCACGATAAATCTTAGCAGATCATTTTGCAGAACACTACAAAACCCAGGTCCTGTTTCCAGCTTGGTTTACCCGTTTAACCTGCTTCAGGGTGGGCTTTGCGACGCTTGAGCTGGACTCAAGGTAAATGATCAATCTGATCACGCCAAGCGTCAATGCCTGACCACATCTTTAAAATGATGAAGGGGAACTGGTTGTAGAACCTCATGGAGCCAAGCACAAAATTGGAAACCACAGCCAAGCCCAATCGGGGAGCCTCAATGACCAGCTTTCTCAGATTTCTCAAGCTTGTCCTTGATGTCCTTGATGTCCTTGATGTCCTTGGCCGGAGCCTCTGGCTTGGACTCCTGGGCCTTGAGCATTCCTCAGGTCACACGGGATCATGGCAAGTGATCTCCACTGTATGTCTGAGCTGCTACGAAAGTCCAAGGAGCCCATCACCATGAAGGCGACCCTGAGTTGGGCAGAAACTATAGTTAAGATAGCCTCTTGAGCTACGATTGGATCTGGCTAGGCATGCATGCATAATGACCTGCATTGCTTGCAGCAGGAGGGCCCATTTCCAGCAATTCCAGCAATCATCACCTGCCCGTTGTGAAATGATGCATCTCAACAGCTTCTCAGAGCCTTTATCACAATCGTTCTCACCAGCATTCAGTCGTGACAGCACTGCGGATGCATCTGGCTACCCTCACGCACCTCTCCCCATGGACGATGAGGTAGGATTTCCATCCCCAGGTAGATGGAGAGGAACATCAAGGCAACCTGGCGCAGCTTCTACAAAGAAAGGAAGATGTCAGATCAAACGATACCAGGCGCATGTTGTCCGGGCCTTATTGAAGTTGCCAGCCATGGAGATAACGTGAGCCTGGAAGTTGGAGCTGAGGGTGTACAGCATGACCTGACACGAGGTCAGACAGGAGCGGCTCTTGCAAGGGCTCCTGAGGAGCCCTTCTGCAGCAGTTTACGTCCTGGAGCTGACCCCTTGACTACACCCAAGGCGCATTGTACAGCGTAGCGAAGATGCCAGATAGAACACCTGAGCTCCCACAGCGAAAACCCTAAAATGAAAGCTTGAAGTCATGACATGGCCAGAAGTCCACCCGTCAAGCCTTTATGTTCAGTTGCGGAAAGTAGTTCAGTGCGCAACTGCCCAACGCTATCTGCAGCAACGCTGCCTTCTGCAAACCTCAAAGGACAAAGTCCTTGGAACACCCTCAACTGCCAGCAAGGCGCCCAACGCCACTCCCAACTTGCTGGTCGCCCAAACCTTCTCAATGACCTGTGCAAGAGAGGCAGCTGTGCCACCGGAAGTGCTGTCGGCAAAGTAAGTCATCGCTCTGCCAATACAAGACAAAGCACTCAGCTAGATGTTCTTGGAACAAAAAAAACTCGCAAGACCGCATGCAACCTTTTGGCTGGGGGTCCCCAACGATAGGGTAGGAATAGGAAGCTACCCCCGCCCGGCCTGCCAATCGGTCATGTGAGGCGCTGAAGGCCAGGATACCTGGCACTCCGATCCCAAAATTTTGCTAAAAACGCTAGCACATGACACCGGCACAACAACTTCGTGACCGTGACATTTCAGCACGCATGGTGTTTGCTTGGGGTCAGAAACTACTTGGGCGAGAAAAAAAACACATCACACTGATGACCAAAAAATTAGTTGGCGAGGATATTGGTCAGAGCTTCGCTTTGCGGTCACTCCTCGGGATCCCTGTGGCTCTGCATAAGGTTTTTGTTTTCTTCTCATTCCTTCAGACCCCGGTGAATATGACCCTACTTTGGGTTCGGCTTGGGGGTCACTTCTTAGGAACAAAGATCTCGACTTAGGGTTTTCAGTGGTCATTCCTTGGGATCCCTGTGACTCTGCTTAGAGCGTAGGGGTTATCTTGTTGAGGTGCATGGGGAGCTGTAGTACTTTGGGATACGTTGGGGGTTGAAAGGGGGTATACTACTTCCAGGGTAAAGGGGAGTACCTTGAACGATGAGGGAAATTTAGAATAGCTGCAACAATATTTTTTACGAGTACCGTCAAGTGGCACCAAGAAACTTCACTCGGGACCAGATGAGCATTATAAAGCGATTTCAGTGACCGAAGAAGTCATGGCGGGATTGGAAGCACTTAGGGCAAGTCTAAAGCAGAGTTCAGAGAGCCGATCAGCTGACCCTGCGACGTAGTCTTCCAATCGGACATCAGAAAGCAACACAATGAATCTCATCCTAAGTGATTGTGGTTTCTCATCCTAAGTGATTGATGCTTCTCTTCCAAGCGCGCATCCACTCTCTTCGGCACAAGATGCGACCAGCCGATCACAAAACATGATGAAGCCAAGGTGCTGAGTGCGAGAAGAAGAACACAGGCAGCAGCAGCAACAACGATGCCGGCAAGGACATGTTCATGATAGCCTGACAAGTGACAACCAGTTTTTCCAACGGCCAACGGTCTATAGTGCACAAGACCTCTGAGTACATGGATAGAACAGCTTGAAAATGCATTTAAAAAAATCTGCCTCGAGGGCATTCATCTTCAGATGGGTGCTCAGCGTCCTGCATTTGGGGAATGGTATCAGGTGGAAGCGAAACTGAGCCTCTTGATATATAGTCTCTGCGAAAAAGCAGGTCGTCTTCGCACAGCATAGCTCTCCTCACGACTATTAGTTCGATCCCGGACGCCACCATGGAGAGGCAACACACCTGAAGCATGATTGGGTGGTTGAGCGAGAGCTTGCTGAGCCAGACTAACATGTAGCACAGCAGAGGCTGCTGTTGTTATATGGTAGCTTCCCAAAATTGGTGGTACTTTTTTTTGAGGAGTATAGTATTTGGGGGTCTATATTGCGGGTCCCCCTATTTAGCGAAACTACAACCCTAAACCCTAAACCTTGATCCTAGTCCCAGGAGCTCCAATGCCCACATAGTAGGTCCAAGCCGTCGACCCGGAGCCAAAGCTGTTGAGCTTGCTGCAAATCTCGGATAGATACTAATAATAATAGTAGTAGTAATACCATAGAAATAGTAATTGTAATAGTAGTATCCTTTACTAGCCATTACATCGCTTGACGTTCTGAAGGGATTGGCCACTGTAATGCTTCCAAGGTTCCACCAGGCCTGCAAAGAAGGTTCCCATGACGGTGAGAAGCAAGTCTCGACAGTTGACCTGAGGCCACTTTGCCTCAGATCGCGCGTTCTGCGGCAAGGTGTGCTACAACAGTAAGCCAGCATACACATCATTCCAATCATTCCGCCATCAACAGCACCAATGTGAGTGGGACTGCGGAGAAAGTATTTTAAAACCCCTAAGGCTGCAAAGATTGTTCAATGCAATCACATTGTGAGAAGTTGCAAGCTACATGTACCCGTTAGGCCTTGTATCCTTCTGAATCATGTTGTCTGAAACATATCAGCTGGCAAATAAGCAAATCCATGTCAGCTGACCAACACATAGCTCAGCAAATCCCAGAAGCCTACCTGCACGCGATCTTGGCCCCGGGCCTCTTGGCCAGTAATGCTTGTCAGAACAGGCTGCGCCACAAATTCCAGAGCTAGGTTCACAAGCGCACCCGCTGTGCGGATGATCAGGTGAACAGATATGTCCTCGCATTGCAGTGGACTGCGCATGATTGCACACCTCACAAGCTCATAACAAGATTAGGAGGTCCCGTCTCTCATCTGCATACTAGGAATACAAGGAGGCCTGGCTGATAGTCGCGGTTCCGATGCTTTTGCAACTGAGGCACAAGGATAGATAGACTCAAATTGTTGAGACCTCGGTCCAACCGGCACCCCAAGTCGTCATTGCTTGCCCTCATGCAGCTGCTCACATGCTTGTGGTTTTCATACATGGCCTAGGTTGAGCAGTTTCCAGTCAAGCAGCCAATGTTGCCAACGAAGGCCAAAGCTAGCAGAAGCACACAGCCAACCTCAGAGTGAGCATGGCAACTTTATCACTGATAGCATCCGTCCTCAGCCTACCTGTGTTCAGCGCCCTTGCGTGAAACCACTCCACAGAATGACGCTTAATTTTACATTGAAGCAGTGCTATTCAAGTCCAGCAAGTGTTACCGCCGGGTGCGGCCCCGATACCTCACGGCGGCTTTGCAGTGGGCGGCAGTTCACCTGGTACCCAAGGCAGCGTGCTGCCTGCAAGCCTGGGCTAAACAGCTGTGTAACTGAGTCGTTGAAGGGCTTGCAAAAGTGGCTGCGTGTAGAAGCTACAATGTTTCACGGACATAGGTGTTATCGTGCTGAATCAGTCCAAGACTCGTTGCCCACGCTTTTGAACAATTTGAGTGATGCCCGTTACCATGAGCATAGTTACAATTGTTCTTACCCTGAAATCTGCAGATTTGTTGTAGTCAAATACGGCTGGCCAGTCTCTAGTCCCATGCGGTCCCAGCTGGCGCTGGGGTGTGGCTCTCTCAGTCAAAATGGCCGAACGCTTCCATCAATTGTTGAGAGGTCCTAAGCCCCGCCCACAGCTTCCCGGGTCCAGCTTGGGGCAGGTGCAACATGACCTCCACTAGCTAAGCTCCTTTTATGCCCTAATCGGTTCGGCCAAGCTTGGAGGCACGAATGAAGGTTGTCCCTATGCGTTTCCTTATGTAGCCGCCGCTCACAAACCCAATTCCATCCAGGCCACGCCGATCATTCACGGCGCACAACTACACCAACTATACTACTTACTCAACCAAAGCGCAAAGCTTTTTTGGGAATTGGCGTCGCTGGCCATCAGCTCTTAGATGGGTACTTAGGAGACTAAGAGCCTTGAAGTTCAACCAAGACACCACATGCAAGGACCTCAGATAACACAAAATGTCAAGTTGGCTTGCAATCAGGCTCTTGTTCATACTCCCCTGCGACCTGTCCATTGTGCAATGTACTTGTGTGCTGAAGGGATCTACTACTTCGGGATGTGTCTCTCTCCCTGCAAGGCCTAGTAAGCATGCAGGGAAAATGCAGGAATCTTGCAGCACGATTTCTGTGACTGGCTCGTTGATTACCTCCTCACATCACCACTATCTCCAGAAACATGTTTCCTCCTCCTAGTGAGAGAAGTTCCAGGCGAGGGCTACACCTGACCTCTGTGACAGGGCACCAGGAAGCTGGTCAGCTGCTGAATGGCGGTGATCGCAAAGGGGGCTGGCACACCTGTGGCTTGACCATGCGACGAGCTTTGCAGATGCGATGACAGAGACATGACTCAGTGGCATACGAGATATTTCCACAAAAGAGGCGGTAGTGAAGGAGTCGGTCCGCTAAAGCTACCGCTCAAAGGCGCCAAGGCACCTTTCAAGCCGCCGGGAAGCTTGAAGTTTGAGAAGACCTCCATGCCAAAAGCGTTGAATGTCGTCATGAAAGGACACAGACATGGGCGCGAAAAGGTGGAAGTGTGTATGTTTCACCAAGAACGACTTCTCGTCTTGTGGATTGGATTTGCGGGGTGTGCTATACGATCAGATACGATCAGCACGCCCGATCATATGGAGATCCTACTCGTTCTGCGGCGATTCAAGATCTTCGTCCCACCTGCTTCATGTAGAGGTTCATGGCTGTCTGAGCTCCGAAGAAGGAGACCAGTAGCCCTCAGAGAAGCAATCAAATTCATTGGCCTACCGCTCCACGTGATGCAATCACTGCCTGCTGATCGACTTTTGGGGTACTGCTGCAGCACGGTGCCTCCACAGGAAAGCACAGTCCGGATGGATAGATTGAGTGGTTGAGAAAAAGAATAAAGAAAGACAGATAGGTTTATGGATGTGGTCAGGCACATGCTGGCCGTCCTCGCCCAGGTAGGCAGATTACGAAACACGAGCGCTGTCTGTAAGATCAAAAGATGAATGAGACTATAGGATATTGGTTATAGCTTGGGTCTTTCGGTTATTCCTTACCTAGCTGGGCGTGGGTGAATGGAAGGGGGGGGGAGCAAGGGGGAAGGGAAGGCCCGGGGGGGGGGGGGGGNNTAAGGTCATCCTTATTCCTGGGCAGTTTGGGGGTGTGCGTGTTGGACTCTGCACGTACATGGGCTCAGAAAAAATCAACATGCCAATGAGAGCTGCGCAGGGTCTCCAAAGCAAGACACGAATTACAGATTTCATGAGACACACGCATAAAAGTGCGGGAGCGTTGCGAAATTGATTGATGTGCGCGCATACTAGGGATTACAGAGTGTCTTCTCAGCATTGCAAGGTTCATTACAAAGTTTGGTCCTTTGAAGGGTTCGACAGCCCAGAAATCAACCAAAGTCACGAGATCTCTACAAGAATCGAACCACACTGATTTCGAGCAAGCAAAACCTGGCCTAAGGCAAGTGCTATCGCAGGTAGGCATAGCGTCTCGAAGATCTCGGGCGAAACGAGCATGAGCTCTTTCTGACAGGGGGTGGCAATCTTGACTCCACAGACTCTCACTGCACACGCACAAGCACAAATATCCAAAAGCTGCCATCCTCTGTTGGAACTTCAGCTACAGGTCAAACATGCAGGTGAGTGCACCAGCCAAATCAAGCTAGCACTTGCATCGGGATACAAAATCTGATTGGACTTCAAATCGCGGCGCCAAAGTCTGACATTCAACATCATTACTTCTTACGCTAATTAATGTTTGAGCAGCTAACCCTTGGAGCCCGTCAAAGCAGCCTGCAGGGTCGACACTTGCAGCAACGCCGTGGAATTTTCTACAGGCTCCACATGTGTGGAGTGTGCTACAGCGTGCTGCTCTGCGTCTTCTCGCAGGTCGACCATCCTCGGCTGAATCAAGATTCGAGGATTGGCTGCTGCATGTTTGTCCCCAACCCCTCATGTCAAAAAACAAACCTACTGCAGAACTCGGGAATGAGGACCACCAAGCCACTTGTTCAGGCTCGATTGCCGAACCTGGCCCTGGATGAGACACATCCTCCGCACGACATGACAAAAGGCAGCTGTTTCTTCCTGACATGTTTATACATGGTAGCTTTGCTAGGTGGTCTCTGTGCAACATATCGATGACTTACTCTCCCCCAGCAATAGGCGCCTGTCAGTTTCAGAAGACGCCATAGCCAGGCGCAGGCCTTCGTGGAAGCAGGCAAGGAGACTCAAGCAATCATCTGGAGACTCTCCTTAGCACGGGGGTCCTGGAGACAGAAGAAGCAGTAGTCTTTGAACTGACCACATCTCCTTCGGGCAGAACACGGAAATGCCTTCAAATCCTGACCATGACTTTACTCTCTCATGCGGCAAACTCACACTTTCGCAAAACTCCCTATCCGGCAGTCCTCTGGTAATATGGTTCTGATACCGGAAAATTCTGCCCGTGATATGGAACCCTGTAATGGGCTGCGGAAGAGGCACCGCAAGATCAACAAGCGCAAGCAGGATTTCTACAGGCAGAAAAGCAGGCGGCGGGACTTCCACATCTTTCACAAGCCAGTCACCACATCCAAGTGTTAAGGTCGCAGGAACTGCAAACTTTAAATGCGCACCTCCACCTCGGCATTCCAGGCCTCCGCGTCTCCAACAGCACTGCGAGATGTCCAACACCATGTCGCTACACACAAACTGCCCCTGCCTGAATCTGACTGCAAGCTCATTCCATGCAACGGGCAGCTGAGACTGGCGGGCAGCGTAAGTTACTTCGGAAACTGTTAAAAGTCTCAAGTGCTTCCTGTGCCCCAATCCAAGCATGTAAAGTAAACCTCACAGAACCACAATGAATGCGTGAGACGAACCTATGAGCGTTGAGCGCTGCTCCTACTTGTGCCCTGAACCCACGTTTGATGCCAAAGTGTTGGCTGGAGAAGGACGCACATTACACATGCCCAGACATGGTGACATGGTGCAAACAGCTGCTGGCAGCCTTAATTGCGAATTCGGAGAATGCTTGAATGTGAATGCAGTCCCCGAATGCGTTCTCGGGGAATGGGTGCTTGACGACCTGAGCATAATGGTAATATGATTCACATCCTAATGCCAACATAACTCTGGCACTTCGGTGATCATCACCTCACTAGACTTGCAGCTGACGCCATCAGCTGCTATGAGCATGATGAAGAAGTGGTGTCAAAGCTCAACTTGTGAAGCATGAACTTGCACCTTTTCCACCAGCCGGGAAGGTCCGACACTGCTCCAATGATCAGAGATGCATCTGCGT